GCGGTGTGTGCTTATGTGAATGCAAGTTTGTGATGTTTTTAAATCATGCAAGTGTTTTTTAGATATTTTATGGTATTTAATATAGGAGAGCACAGCATCAGGTGAGAATTTAACAGAGATTCTTTATATCTCACTTAAGTTTTTTATTCATTTCTTCAAAAACATGTTTGTATCTAACGTGGCATAGACATTTTCCTGGGACGAAGGGTGGAAGCGTGGCTAAGACGTAGTCCAGGACTTCAGAACCCTGGCAGCGTAGGGTGTCCCCAGGCACGGCAGGTCATCAGGCCACGGTGAGAGAGTGGAGTGACAGAGGTGTGTGTGTGCATCGGGTGCTCTGAGCGCTCTGGGGATGGGACGCTTACTCATCCTGGGGGAAGTGTGCACGTATGTGTATCAGGGAAGGCATTCTGGAGGAGGGGGGTATCTGAGCTGTGACTTAATTAGCGACTAGGAGGTGATCAGGGGCTGGGGCCGGGCAGGGCAGAGAAGGGCATTCCAGGCAGGAAGGAAGGATGAGGATGAGCCTGAAGAGACAAGCAGACCAGGCCTGCCAGAAATCACGTGCTGCAGTACAAGGAGCAAGGAGAGAAATGGTGCCCAGGGGCTAGACTATGAAGAGCCTTGTGTACCAGGTGAAGGGTCCTAGACTGTATTCTGTAGGCAGTAGGAAGCTGTTAGTTCATTCAATAGACATTTCCGGAGTGCCAGACACGTGTCGAGCACTGTGCTTTGTATGCTGGATGCAGTGGTGAGCAAAACTGACACCAGGTCCTATCCTCATGAAGCTTATATTCTAGTGGAGTTGAACTCCCTTAAAGCTGAAGAGTGATTTCACTTAAATTCCTTAAAGCTGGGAGGGTCTTAACATGAACGGCAACCACTAAGATGAAAAATGAGGAATTTATTTGAGAAATACGTAGGGGCAAAAATGGGAAAGACCTGATGCCTGATTGGATGGGAAGGAGAGCGAGAGAGAGAATGAATAAATATGTGTTACAGGCGGTTCTGAAATCTATACCATGGATGGATGGGGTTATACCTACTCGGATCAAGAATAAAGGAGAAGCATAGGGGGTTTGGTGGGGAGAGCTTAGCTCTGGACTTGCTGAGCCAGACGAATATCTTTGTGTGGAGGTGGTTTAGCAGGAGTTGGCCTTACAAGTCCAAAGACCCCAGAAGAGATCCAGAGACATCATTTTCGTAGCAGATGGGTGAAAACTCAGCATGATAGTGAAAGGAATTGCCTAAGAAAAATGTGAAAGGTGATATGAAGACCTGAAGTATGTCCAAAATTAAGGCATAGATGAAAACAATTATGAAGGAAAGAAGAAGAAAAGAACCATCAATGGATAGTTTCATTCAGGAGGAAGGATTGTTTGGGAAGTCGGTCTGCTGGACTCCTGGTGGAATAGTAACGAATGAATGACTCAGTTCAGTCCACTGAGCACTGATTGTGTGCTGAGTGTGTGCCCTACACAGCGCTGAGCCAGGAAAGGACATGGAGGGAAGATTCAGATACTAGCCTGGCCATGGAGGGGCCTGTAGCGAAGGAGGGCATTGCTTCTATTTCACTACCGGATACGAGTACAATTGCCTAATAAATAAAAAGTAGCACTCTATGAATTTTAGCTTATCCTCATTTTTAAAGGTCCTTGTTTTCAAATGTTTTTGAAGGTTGGCACTCAGTGTCAAGTTACAGTGTAGACTCCAAGATTTCAAAGGTCTTTCCAGTCCCGTTTTTTTTTTTTTTTCTATCTAGCTCAGTGAACATCTCTTGGAGATGAGGGAAAAATGCAAGTATGCACTTAAATGCAATTGTTGTTAAAATAAGACTCCCCTGAAGTCTTCTTTAGAAGGTCCATGGACTTCAACTTAGGACCTCTAGTCTTAATGGACTTTCAGTAGATGAGAACATAGACATTGATTACTCTGAAGTTATATATGTTGAAGAAAAAAGCCTCTTTGGAACTTAACTCAGAACCATGACTCAGGTTTGCTGTGCGTTGAATGCAGTGCACCATTGGTTTTATTCTGTCAGCCTTATTTTACAAGTGGCCCCAAGCAACTCACAGCTTCACAGATACATGTACATAATCAAATGCACATATTTTATTTTTAAAATAATAATGATGTTTGTTGTAACCACATAGAATCACAGAGATGTGTTGTTGTAACTGAGATTCTCCAGTGGATGGATTTGGGGGGAGTTCTTTCTGATTAGGGCTGTCTTACATATTTATACTCAAAGAATTCATGAGCTATTTCTGGTCCTTAGACTTTAATCATGCTTAATGAACTGAACTAAACATGATTCTCATTCTGTTTTGGTAACCTTGTGGATTCTCCTAATGCTCAGCTTCATATGACGACACCATTCTTGAAATGCTAATATCCAAAATGCTAATTCAAGAGAGGACCACAAAAGTTAGATTTCATTTCAGAGAAAGTGCATGCGGTACTCACAGGCCTTCCCAGAAAGAGCAAGGCTGTGAGAAGAATGAGATTAGGTGGAAAATATTGGCTCCTACCTTTGGTGAACACACAAATTTAAACATATAGGTTGCACAAAATTTGGATAAACTGAGGTGGAATCCAACATTTCTTGCATGAATGCCTGTATAATGTGGCGATAGCTGTGAGAAAAGAGGAGCCCAGCATCTAAGACCCAACACAATGGAAATGCAGTGAATCGGAATGCCTCACAGATCATAGCGGAATCAGAATTTCCAGCAAGGAAAATCTTTTCATGGTGAATTAAGTGGTGGATGAAGAAAAATGGCGATGAAAAAAGGTAGGCACAGATCACAAACACTGGGCTCAGGGCTCACTGCTGAAGATTTAAGAACCTTAGCTAAAGCTATGCAGAATAGAATGTGGAAAATTGAATTTACTAAACAATTAAGCATTGAATTAATCTACATCCTGCACAGTAGAAAAGTGGGGGAGGGAGCAGAGCAGAGCTGAATAAATCAGCAGAGCTCATTAAAAGATAGTGAATATATCAGGTCTGTTGTAGCATAAAGGAGGATAGTTTTCTGTATGGCGTGGAGTAATTCTTTGGTTCTAAGTCACCTTTCTAGAGTCCTAGTCTTAATCAGATTAACAAACGTGCTTCTGACGAGGTTAGTCTGTTGCTCTGTGGTTTCGCTTGTTATCACTAGCTTTTCTATTAATTACAAGTCAGATCACCAGTCAACAATAGTAGTGAGGGACAACGTAAATAAAATGAGAGTGCCCAGGAGACGTCACTCGCAGGATCTCGTGCATCCTGAAACTCCCACGGGTTCCTGCAGCCTCCCACATGCCTTGCTGGTCTTTTGTTCAATTACAGTTAATGCAATAGTTTGCCATTTTCTCCTTCTAATTATATTTTCAAGTGGGATTTGTAGCACATAGAAAAACATCCTTTTACATGTCGAGGCACCGGGGTTTTGTGCCTGGCATTGTCTGTCCCCTGGGTGCTGTACCGTTCTTTCTGCAGAGCTCTGAATAAACAAGTCCCCCTTTTAGAGCTGCAGTTGTGCAAACTGAAAATTTATGCATTAACTGTTTGCATTCTGAGCATGTGTTCCAGATTACGCCTTACAGCATGCTTCTGGTATGCCGCAGAATGCACGTTTGTCAAAAGCACTTCTTTCACAGTTCACATATCCTTCCATCATAGAATCAGCAGATCAATTAGCACCGTTTTTTAGAATAAGCGTAATGCCTGAGTCCAGTGTACAAGTGGCAAATCTTTCTGTGACTTTCTTTAATTTTCCAGGCTGTGTTAATCTTCTGGCCAAGAGTGTGGGATAGGTTGAAGGCAAGCATCCTTTTCAGGAATACTCACTCTTTTCCTTTGATTCTTATAAAGCATGCCTCTTAGGTGCTATCTTTACTTTTCTCTCCCTGGCTGTCTGAACATTTTGATCTCTTCATCCCTTCTTATTGTCTCTGGAATATGAAAATGCTTTCCAAGAAATAAGCAAAGAGCACTTTGCTTTTGCTAGGGGTATTAAAAATGTTGGGAGGGCTGATAAACTTCACTACTTGCGACACATTCGTGACCCATTGACGTTCTGTGACTGCAACGATGTAGACATATTTTACATACAAGATCATCCTGCTTTCCCACTAATCATCTGGAAAACAAACAGCACTTCCTTTAGGACAAAGCCAAGAACCAGCCTTCTATTTTGCATCATTCCTACTGTGCGGGTGACCAGTGACTCACAGGGCTGTTTTTGAAAGCTAGCACTAAAAGCTAATTAAACCCTTTTCTGGTGATAAAGGGAGATTTGGGAGAAGTGTCACCATGATTGTTTTCCCCAAGAATTTAATTTACAGCCAATTTTTTTCTATCTGAATGTTACTTTCAAATGCACCCAGTGATAAGAAGCAACATCTGTTTTCCGTTCAATAGTACATGAAGGCTCGGCATGGGGCTGAGTGTACACAGTCCATGTGAATCTATTGTTATTCTCATTTCTTTTTTGTCCCTGTGCCTGGTCCATTTGCCATGTACCATCCGGCAAACAGCTGACACATACTAGCTATTATGGACCTCAGCCTAATTGCAAGGCCATGTTTGTCTTCTAGGGTGAATCAGAGGGTGCTATAAACCACCCTGTTATAGACCACCACTCTCATTTTGCATTTTCAGAGTAGCAGGCTGTTGTGCCAGAGGGTTTGTTGATGTTAAAAATAGTCAGAACCAAGTGGCAGCATTTTTTTCCTTCTTTGATTGCAATGTTTTTGTTTTCCTTGGTAATAAAGCATGCAATTATTTACAGAATAACTATTTATACATATTATTTCAGCTTAGCAGCAGAAATTGGCAAATTCTGAGTGTGCCAGTGTAGCTCTGAGCTGGCACCGCCTGTGAAGGGGGATGGGAGAGACAGCACGGCTGTCCACTCCGGCCATCTCCTGCCCCGTTGTCGTCATGTGATGGCAGTCTGTGAGCCAGGCTGAACAGGCCTCCCCATTCGGATTTCTGATTTGTGTCCCCACAGCCCTCTTGGAACCGAGATCACGATGACACGGCGTCCACCCGTTCAGGAGGAACCCCGGGCCCTTCCAGCGGTGGCCACACATCACACAGCGGAGATAACAGCAGTGAGCAAGGTAGGGAGGTGTTCTCATTGTTCTCCTTTGCTATTTGTTTCACTTGTCAGGCTTGAAAAAATCAGAATCCTTTAGTTAGTGACTATTTATAGTTTTTCCTAGGACATAAATCCCACAAAATAGGAGAATCAGCTCATCGCACTAGCACCCCCTCTCCTGTTCCTCTTCTCTGCCATTCCAGCTGCCTAACTGCCAGTCACCCGGCCGCCTCCGTAAAATGGGTCAGTGAACTGACTGAGGGCTATTGGAGAACTAGAAGTTGAAATGTGCCTGAACAGTACGCTACTAATACCATGCTATACAAATAAGAACTCTTATTATTATTTGCCCTTCGAGGCTTTTGAAGAGCTCATCCACGTTAATGATGTCTTAAGATGCTTAGAAGGCAGTGGGCCTTTCAGAAACCCAGGTTGGGTTTCCCTCTCCACTGGGTGGAAGCCATTTTTCTGAACTTATTTGAATTTCTTAAGTGCTTGGCTTCATTGCGAAGGCAGATTAAAGGGAATCAGGAAGAAATGGAAAGAAACCGGGTCAGTTGGATTCGTGTTGCTCCTTGACTGCTCATGCCCGTGTGTGCACTTGAGTGTCCATGGATGTGCACATCAGACAACGGGCAGGAAGTAAAGTTTGAGCAGGAAGTTAATCTCCAACAACAGGGTGAATGAGTGTCCAGGTGTCTCCCGCTGCTTTTGATGAGATGGACGGCAGTGGCTCTTGTGTTCAATTAAAGTGACCCAAGTTTAAAAGAGTGTTCTCTAGCTGAACAAAAAAGACAGCTTTTATTGAAGCCGAGTCTGAGTCCACAGTAGGTACCTACTTTAAACTCTGGTTTGATGATCATGTTTCACTGGAATGCTGTTAAATAGCAAAAGAATTTTGTTTTCAAGCTGAAGTGGTCTCTACCAATTGGGTTTGTAGTCTGCAGTATATTTAACATGATTAATTTGAAAACAAAAGCAGGAAAGTGAAATTTCTTAGGCCCATGAATGCTGCTTGGACTGGGATGCACTTCTACACCTGAAGCATTTGAGACATTTTATTGTTTCCAGTAAAGTTGCTGACTTCATCACGACTACAGGTCTAGGAAAGATGGAGCCTGGAATAATATCAGTGGACTGGTTCAGGGCTGAGACAGAAAGAGGCAACCTCTGCCCTCTGACTTTTACCAGAAAATGATACGCAGCATCAACCCACAGGGTGCTTTTTCTTTCAGGTGTGCGCATGTGTATGCTGTGGCGTCGCTGCTCACAGTACTGTAGTTAAGGTGATGTCAGCACTTTCAGTAAAAAGCCCTACTTTCAGAATTCTTCTTACACCATGAGTTTTCAAAAAAGTGTAAATGGAACCTCCGTTCTTTTTCCTGTACTCCAAAATTGCTACATGGGGTCACAGCCCAGAGCTTTGTTGCTTTTTGTCTTCCATTTCTGGCTTTTTTAAAAAAAAAAATGCATCACCCACCAGCAGGCAGGCAGTAGAGCTGCTGCTCTTTGAAGGCTTGTGAACAGCTACCATGAACTTGAATTTAAAGTTTAAATTCAAGTTTATATTACATTTTCTTAACCGTAACTGATAAAAGGATTTGCAAAGGGCAAACACCTCATCCCCATTCTTCCCCTCTGACTTGTCATAACAAGGAATTAGGAGTTTGCGTGTTTCTTCTTCCTTCAACAAGTGCTCTCCAAAGGTCAATTTGATCATGAATTTGATTGTAACCAAGAACCATACATCCTTGACATTACTAGAGATTGCCACTTATGTTGTCTCTCTTTGTATTTTTCATAAAAGACGATCCCCTAGTTTTTAAAAACCATTTTTACATAAATTATCTCCCTGGAAGGGTCTCAGCTGATCAAACAGGTCTAGCCCCAGTTGACAGGTGAAGGAAAAAAGGTTAGGGCTGAGTCGAAGGATTGGTTGAGGTCCCAGTACGATGTCCAACCTAAACTTTCAGTTTCCTGATGGTTTGTACAAGATTTTTGTCCTCGTGCCTTCTTTCCTCATCTCCCCACCAAAAAAAAAAACTGAAGTCAGTTACTTCCACTGTGGGCAGGTAGAAACTTTCCCTCCCGATTTCACCCTCCTCTCCTCCAGTAGCTGGAAAATACGGCATCGGGAGTCCCACCTTCAGACTTCCCTGTGGGTTGTCTTTGGCCGTGTGATTTATTCCTTGCTAAATGCAGACTGACACCTAGAAGTGTTGCTGCAACAACTTATGTACATTTCCATGCCAACCGTGACCCTCCTAAATCTTTTTTTCATCCCTGAGACCTGTGGAGCCGGGTCTTTGTGCAGCCGGCGGATTAACTGTGCACAGTGGCTTTCCCGCGTTTTCCCTGCCTGCCTCTTCTGGCAGGCCTGGCTGTGTAAGCCGTGCCAGCATTTGGCCCGTAGTGCATGTCCTAAATAGTTATTTACACAGTTTGAGTCCATTTTAGTCAACTGGGTAAATAACAGCCCTCTTCCAAAGATTTATAAATCCATAAATATGTCTTTATACATACCCAATAGACAGAAATAACTCAATCTGTCAAGAACTTCTCCAAAGAGGTGCTTCCCCCACAGACCGGAGTAATACATATTTTAAAACTTTCTCTACTGTATTATTTGTGCTGCGTTTCTTTTTTCCTCATTTCTTTTCAATTTTCACCACTTCATTATGGCACCTGTGGTCCAAAAAACCGACTCCCCTAGGCTTTGTTCGTCTGCTAAATGACCCTATCTGCTGCACAGTGTGGGCATAAAACAGCCTCTATGTCTCAACCCAGGCCTGTTCTTTTGGACTTTCAAAGTAAAGAAACAAAGTAAGTCATCCAGGAAATTCACAATGTTTGACAGACTTCAATATACAGTAACAATTTCTAGTTAGTGTTGCAGCAATTTGGGGGGTTTTGAGTGCCTGATAATTTGCCAAAGTAGCGGCTGTGGTGACTGATGGAGTAGCTTTAGTACAATTTCTACCTAAGCATAAAAAAAATGTGATATTGAATCTTGGGCATTTTTAAGAGAGCATACATTAGCTAGGTAATTAAGAAAATCCAAAGTATATTACTTTTATTCAGGGATTTAGTGTTTATTCATGATTCGCATAAAGAATCTTTCCTCCCACTCAAGTTATTTACCATGCAACTGACTCTTCCTCGGCACACCTGACTTCATTTGGGATGAACACCTGTGGCCTGTGCAGGAAACTGTGCAGGTTCTTTAATGTGTGAGGCTCCTTCAGATGGGCAAGGAGAGGCGACTAACAGAGGTGTTTGGTGAGGGTGCTGCTGCGGCCGCTACAACATTGATTTTGTCTACTCTTTAACTTTCTCAAAGCGCTTCCAGAGACATGCGATGGGGGCCTTAGTTTTTCCCTGTTGATTATTTGCTATTTTCCCATTTCAGAGAAGAGAAAAGTACAGTGCATAAATATCCAAGAGTGAGTAACTGTCAGAGTCAGCTCTGGGGGCGCAGTTGCTTGCCTTTATCACTGCTTTAGGGTGGGGTGTTTGCAGGACCCCTAAGTAGAGTCTCATAGGCCCAGGTAGACATCAGCAGATCTGTGACTCTGTCCTGTTTGCTATCTCTCCTACTGTGCGTGGCTGCCCTATGGCTACAATCAGGGCCTGCTTTGGGAAACGTGTGATTGTGGGAAGGGGAACACCAAGCGCATTTGGTCCCTTTTTGTCTTCCTTCCCTGGGGACAGGGGGCAGTCATTCTACAGCTCATGGGCAGCTTTATGTATGACTGAACACATCTTGAGTTTGGGCACTTCACCCTTTTTGGTTCCAAGTCAAGAGAATGAATACATCATAGCTGTAGAATAATGAAAGAACACATTCAGGGCTGGCAGCCAGTGTATTTCCATCTCTCACTTGATTAAGGAGATCTCAGAGGCTCAAAGAGGCTAGGAGACTTGCTCAGAGTCCCATTCTGATTGGTGTAGAGTTAGGACTTGAACCCTTACAGTCTGACCCCAGAACCCAAGCTCCTAACTGTGACATCCTATGTGGTAAAGTGCTGTTGTGTGGCTAGGCATGGAAGAGCAGATCCTTTAATGGACATTCTTCCTGTTATCAGTTGGACGACTCCTCCCCCAGTGACTGCACTGGTCGTGGCGCTGTGCCCTGTAATGGTGACAAAGCTTCAAATAAGACAGGATCAGCGTTAGCCTCAGGGGGGTCGTACTCTGCTGGCAAGGGAGGGTCTGGTTTTGTGTGCACTTAAGCAGAGCGATGATTGAGATATTGGCAGAAGAGCATGATGATGGATATGATTAATTTGTATTATGTATTAAGAGCCTATCCTGTTTCACTCATTCACAGATTTATTGAACTGAGAGTGGTAGCACCCAAAACAAGTAAGGGCATTTTTCTGGCAGAACACTTTCCACTTAAAGCTCATCTTCTTTCCCTCTCTTGTGAAGATAAAGAACAAGCATGATCGCTATATTGAAATCTGATGTAAAATATTTCAACCCTAAAGGACTGGAATGGTCACTGTAACCTCAAAAACCCTCTGATGAACTTCTCCTTTTGGGGGCAGGACTCAGATCAACAACTGTATTTTGCTCCCTCTTTTTAAAAAAAGGCAAAAACAGCATGTTTCTTTAAAGAGGGACAATGAGAAGCACGGCTACTTCTTTCTAATACTGTATCAATAGTTGCAATGCCGCCCACTGCCCCACCCCACCCCCCTCCACGCCGGCTTTTGTATGAGTGCAGGCAACCTATAGGCAGAAGGCAATTCCATTTATTATTGAAGGGACTCTCAAGGCAGTTGTTTCCGACCTGTGAAGCTAGCTGGCCGAGCTGGACGGGAGGGGGTGCGGAGCTGGGAGAGAGGGAAGGGCCACGTTATGTTCCAGATGACTAAGCAACGATTTATATACCAGCTCGCCTTTTTACATGAAGAAGAAAAGTAATAACAGCCCAAACCCGGGCGTTTGAAACAGTCAGCTGTCTGATGAATAATGGGATAGGTGGGAAGGAGCACTCTGATTGGATGTCTTAATGAG